TGCCCAATGAGGCTGTTATAATACACACATGCTATTGAAGGACCATACCTAGCGCTTCTTGTCGATTTGGAATGATATTTTAGCAGCCACTATAGGACACCTCCCCAAAGTACAGCGTTTGCTTGAGACTCAGATGGAGAGCCAATACAAAAGAGAAAGACCAAGGGCAAGGAACGTGTTATTTTTCGTTGGCTGCGCGTAGCGAATGAAACGAAAGATGTATTTTTTGCCAGCATTTTCACCATAGTTACGGCACCAGGATTGCGTCAGCTGGATTTTTGTCAGTGTTCTCAAACTTTTCTCTTCATCGTGGTCTTTCTCTTTTCGTTGTACTTGTAGTTTGCATCGTGAGTGAACAAAGACCACACTACTACTGTGATCTGTATCTTTCTGTTGTGTGAGGGTGTGTCTGCGGTGTACGCAGAGGCCAGCTAGCTGGCAAAAAGACAAGTTACGCAAGCCAATACTGTCCACTAACACCACCAGTTACTAAACAATCAGCTCATGCGATAACATTGCACGACACTGACCGACGGTACTGACGTTCTGCAACTAACTGGCTAACAGCTCTAGCACATCTAGGATGCGCACTCCAACAGCCTTCCAACTTGGAAGGTTCTAAGTTATAGAAATAACATAAGGAGGGGAAGGTGATTGCTTGTTCGCATAGCTTCCCCTTTTATTGATCTTCGCATCTTTTGAGCCACACAAGTTGTGTGGAATGTTGCTTTGCGTTCTTGAATCGTGGTTTGACCGTATTGTCCAATGGTCTTGCCAGTATCGTCATCGACATGCATGAACATCCGCCAACGTCCTTTACAGCTGAGACTTTCAGCTCGTGCTATATCTTGGTTGCGCTCACCTTCCCCTCCTTATGTTCTATAACTTAGAAGTTAGAACCTTCCAAGTAAGTAAAATAATTATATTAGTTGGAAGGCTGTTGGAGTGCGCATCCTACTACTGGCTAGATGTGCTAGAGCTGTTAGCCAGTTAGTTGTAGAACGTCAGTACCGTCGGTCAGTGTCGTGCAATGTTATCGCATGAGCTGATTGTTTAGTACAGTCAACTTCGCTTATAACGACACTCGGCGGGGCATCAAAAAGGTGTCCTTATTCGCGAAGTGTCGTTGTACCCGAAGTCTCATTTTTATGTATTTATAATACAGTGGGATGGGACTTTGCTCTGGGCATGGATATTCTGTCGTTATTCGCGAATTGTCGTTATATCCGCAGTCGTTATTAGCCAAGTTGACTGTAACTGGTGGTGTTAGTGGACAGTATTGCGTAACTAACTACTTGTACAAGACTAGTTCCTTGGTCTTTTTCTTTTGCTTGAGAGTTTGGTATTCCCCTTGCATAATTATTATTGTCTTGTACTTCCAGAAAGCTTCCAGTCCACATCATGACAATGGTCTGAGTCCTTTGTTCATGACGATCATCTGTTAGTTGTGGCCTTTTGGAGAAGAATATAAAAGCATGCTTGGCTGTTCTCTCGAGCATCCGCTAGAGGATTATCTGGTCATTTTCCGAGCATAATCCGCTTACCCCTAACAATGACTCATTCTGCAAAAAGTAGCTTTACTTCGCTACAAGAACTACTTGAAGAAGCAGGATGATCAGACAGGAGCCACACACATGGTAGACTACTCAGCTCAGCCAGAGTCAGAGCGACTAGACTCAGCTAGCTCAGCAGGCGAGTCACGAGAGGCGGAAGCTTCTCCAACTCCAAGAGCGGGACGGTCGCGCACCGCAGTGCGCCAGTACAGTGCCTAGCATAGCATGCATAGATCATCGAGTGCGCGCGTGCGTGCGCGTAGATCTACTCGTGGATCTACTCGGCTCGAAATATTTCATCCTCATCAGGCTCATGTGCATGTGGGCAAGATATAACTCGTGTATTGTTGGTTGTTTCCGAGTCGATCGTGACCCGACGTCCTGGACACAAAAGCTAACATGTCGGGTGCACCCGTAGCAATGCGAGTGCCGAGTCGCCCCTACCCGTCCGAATGGTGGCTGACGGACCGGCGACGGGCCAAGCTCAGAAAGTGGCGCTTCAGCAGCACTTGTCCCTTGCCCGTGGACTATTTGCCACCTTTTCACGTGCCCCTCTGCGAGGTTTTCGAGCTGTACGATGCAACGGAGGAGCTGCTGGAAAGCGATACCTTTCAACTTTACGCTGACAATGACGATACCACGAAGCCGAAGGGGAGTCCCGCTATCCCCAAGCCGGCGCATTCGGAACACTATCGACGATTCCTCACCCTGGAGCCACCAGGGAACACTGAGGATGCGGCTGGACGGGATCATGACGCTCGAGCACGTCGACAAGCGCTAGCGGAAGGCCGCATGGGCAGGACCTCAGGGGACTCCATGGCGTGGCGCAAACCCAGTGCAGGACTGCGGCGAGCAGCGAAAATCGGAACGCCAGGTCGTTTGAGCAGGAGCAAGGACAAATTCTCGCATCAGCAGCGATTTGTGGCTGGTGTGAAGCGACAGGGCCTTGTGACCACGACGAAGGGTCCCGCAACAAACCGTGCAGCCGCCTTGCGACTGGACGCAGTACAATGCGACGACGAGGCGCAATGGCTGCAGCAGTGCTGCAGTACGAGCAGCGCGAAACTCACAGCGCTGTGCATGATGGGCAAGCGAACACCTGGCTACCAGAACGCAGCATGCACCAACATGCCTGGAATCGCATGCACAGACTCAAACGACAACACTGATCATAGTGGTTATGTGCGCAAACCAAAACCCAGGAAGAGCTTTCTCCCGCCAATCGTTGGCCAGTTCACAACGGCTCGCAAGCCGCAGAAGAAAAGGGCAGGGCCTACCAACAATCAAGGATCAGGAGCTTCAGTTCACAAGCAAAACACAGTGCAGCTCACTTCTCACTCTGAAGGTTATCCCGGGCGTGCAGAAGCAGGTGCTGATGGGCGGCTACGGAAGCTGTTGAAGTCAATCGAGGACCGTGTGCCGCGGAGCAGAGTGCTGCGCAAGACGCGTGAATGCACTGCCATGCCCACGCTTGCACCGGTGCATGACCTGCCGCAGGGCGTGGCGCAGGAACGGTTCGCGCGGCCCCGAGTGCCGCATCGCATCCCGGCGGTGATGCTGGCGTGGCTGCTCATCGACCCACCGTACTGCGGCGCGTCGCACGGCAAGCTGCCGCCCGTTGCTGGTGCGCGGTCGCATGCCCTGCTCACGCTCAGCGCCTTTTACGGCAAGCGGGCACGTCTCCCACGGCCAGTGCCGTGCCTCGGTGCCGGTGACTTCCAGCGGGACTTCTTTGCAAACGACATGACGGAGGCATGGCGTACTAAACAAGATGAGCGAATTCAAGACTTGGGCAAGCAAGTCCAGGATGATATTTATCGGAGCTACGAGTCAGCGCTCAGCGATTTCCACGCTGCCAAGGAGCAGCTGGTTAAGGGCCTTGCTCGGAAGGCACGTCGGCAATTCCGCCGCGCACAACAAGCCGACGGCGACACGATGTCCCGCTACAGGAAGAAACCGCTAGGCGAGAAAGCGAGGGCCGGACGTGCCCGTGTGCAGACACCGGTACTGGCCTCGCACGGACAGCGGGAAGAGTTCGTACGAACGCTCCACCGGGACCACGCCGAACTCGTAGACTCGCTACGACGCGGTATGCGGAAAGAGGCAGAGAGAGAATGGCAGCGCTACATCAACGAGTTCAGGAAGGACGCGGAGCCCGAGCGTGACGCAAATAAGCACGCACAGCGACGGCGGAGGCGACGTGCAAAGTTCGATGTCGACATCGAGCACGCGGTTGACCTATTGCTTGCCGTGCTGGCCAAGACGGTGACGAACCTAGAAGGTGAGGTACTGCAGGCTGCACAGGCACACCATCAGCGCCTCCATGTGCCAGCATGGGCAGCCGCACGCCTGGGCTGTACGGCGAAATGCGCGAGCTCGCAGAGTGACGATGACGAGAAGGAAAATGTCCGCCCCAAAAGACCATAAACAAGCAGAGCATGTTGCAGTTGGGCATTTTGTAGTTGTAGCAAGTACAGCAAAGAGCTTATTGCTGCTCACCTGGTGTCCTTGAAACCTTTCAAAACGCTATGCTACCTGTAGCACCTTCCTGCTAACAATCAGTGGAACGCACCCGTTCCAACAACAATATTTTCAGTTTACTTATTACCTACAGTAAAGCAGTGGAGTTCAATGCTTACGACGGCGGAGCGTTTTCCACAAGAACAAGGACAGCTTGACGAATAGTGCTGCCACTTTCAAAGGGTATCTAGTTACTATCCGGTTGATAGACCCTACATGTTAGTATAGTATACAGTCAACTTCGCGTATAACGACACTCGGCGGGGCATCAGAAAAGTGTCCTTATTCGCGAAGTGTCGTTATCCCCGAAGTCTCATTATAATGTATTACAGTTGGATGGGACTTTGCTCTGGGCATGAAAATTATGTCGTTATTCGCGAATTGTCGTTATATCCGCAGTCGTTATTAGCGAAGTTGACTGTATCAGGCATCTGACTTGGTGTACTTTACAGGAAGAAAATTTAATCGGTCAATACTTTCGTCCAACTCCAAAGAAAGGGAGTTCGTCCGGTTGAAAATTTAGTCCATGGGTCAAAAGAGTCTATTGAAAAGCAGGACGAATCAACATTACAAGCAATATTGTAGTCCGGCATTCAATTTAGTCCAAAGCTCCGTGGACGAAAAAGACGAAATTAAATTCCCAACGAATATTTCTGCTTATACAGTATACAGTGCCTCGGCTATTCTCTCGTGCAACTAATGTGTTACTTGCAGATCTAGCTGCGTTTTATCGAGGTTCCGTGTAACTGGGATTCAGATAATCCAGCCCCCGGATAATCGAGGTTCAACTGTGCATGTCTGTGCACCCACTAAATGTCTAAAACAATGATTCAAACTGCAAGACGCCACTGAGAAACAGCGGACAAGTCTACACACAACACACTACTGGATATGTTGGCAACGGACCACAACACACAGAACAAAAGACACATTTAAAATTTTTTAATGCATCACCGCAATAACTTAGCAGAAAGAAATTGAACAGAAATGAAAACCTAGAGCCACAAAGGTACACATACATGCATCGTGCACAAATACAGGCAGATGCAAAGAGGGTGCAAAACACAAGAACAAGAGCCAAGCGAAATAGTACAACTATACAGAATAATAATGATCAGCAAGCCTTCACAACCAGCCGGTCAGCTAAGCGACCAGCTACAGGTTGCGGCAGCGGGTGATGAGAATTTTCAAGATAACACCCAGCCGTCCGTGCTCTGCATGCTGCAGGGCAGAACAGAACAGGGTTAGAGCACGGCTCCTGGCTGACACACGCACACACACAGCAAATACTGTTATGCAGGAAAGCACGTCGGCATGGTAACAGCGTGGGTGGTGGTAACAATGTGTAGCCATGGCTACAGCCGGGATGCTGGCCACTGTCCTCACATACAGCATGGAACATCCATGGACAATCCATGGACAGGCTTCGCAATGAGGTCATACAGCGAGCGATGCAGCTATGTGCTAGATGCGCACTGCGACGCAAGAGAGGGAGAGAGAGAGGGAGAGAGAGAGAGAGAGAGAGAGAGAGAGAGAGAGAGAGAGAGAGAGAGAGAGAGAGAGAGAGAGATAGAGAGAGACACGGAGCAGCAGTATCGGGCCGCAAACACTGGCGGCCAATCGTACGTCACGAAGCAACAGCTCCAGCGTAAAATGTCCGTGGTCGCACAGCAGCACCACAACCGTTGGCGATTTCAACGTCCACTTTCAGAGATCAATGGGAGCAGAGAACTAGCAAAACAAAGCTTGCATAACAAGTCAAGCCCACACACTTGGGGCATGCAGAATGGCCAGATTTCAAACGGTCGACACGGGATCAAGTCTGCACGAATGCCCACCACCGGCGTTGGCAGCTATTGCGGTACAGAGGAGATAGTTCACTGGCGTTGAAGGTATGACCACGAAGCCCACTGTGCCAGGAACACGATGCCATGATCACATAACCGCTGTAGAACATGATGACATCACCATGAGGCATGGCACATTAGTAATGACATCACCATGAGCAATGATATGGTAAGATTACATCATCATGAACCATGGTACGGTAACGATGACATCACCATGAGCCATGGTACGGCAATGATGACATCGCCATGGGCCATGATACGCTACGGATAACACCGTCCGCACCAGTACATCAATCGACGGAGCATGCGTACATCATCACGCTAGAACATGACTAAATCATCGAGGTATAAACACCTGCCGCATGGCATTGTAGCGATACGCACGGGCGTGATCTCGACCACTGTGCATGCACGTACAGAAAGCACAAGAGAACACAAGAGAAGTGGAATTACAACACACACGATGTACAGTGTCGATGATTCACTAAGCAAGCAACCAGCCCGGCCCACTAAGTGAATAAACAGAGAAAAGAAAGCAAATACGACAGGAGTGTGATGGGGCAAACTTGCCGCCAGCAGCACACAGTGGAATACCGTGAAATTCCGTAAATAAGCCCACCCTAAATAACGCCCATGCCCGATAATAAGCCCTGTTTTAGGCGGTGTACACTTCAAGTCCGTTTTAGCGCCCATGCCCGAAATAAGCCCAGGGCGTAAAGTGGACAAGTGGTTTACCTATAAAATCGGTAATTTATCGCTACATTCTTGGATACGACCAAATTTCCAGCTGTGGTTTGATGTACCTGTCCGGCGCTCAGTGTGAATGGTGGTTCACTGAAACTAGTGGGTTGCGGATAGATTGATCTTCAGCAGATTGCGTCCGAAATAACGCCCATGCCCAAATATACGCCCGGTTTTTGACGCTCTGCAAACTATACGCCCGGGGCTTATTAACGGAATTTTACGGTACGTAGCTTCACAGGCATGACAGGACAGTGATGCAGCAAAGGAGCCAGCTTATTTGTAACGCACTGGTCCTCGCTGAACACAGTACACTCGACATGCACTCTAGTGGAGGCCGTACAAGACGAAACACAACACAAGACAAAACACAAGACTACAATGACAGTAGAATCACACTGGCCTTACCCCTGTGCTAGCAGGTAACGTTTCTCGGTGACCGGGTCATTGCCACCGCTGCTGCTTTGACGGCTCATGTCTGTCTCAATCAGCACGTCAAAACACATCTGTACAACAACCACAGCGGCCCCATAATACCAGCAGCAGCAGCACGATCATCATCAGCAGCAGCAAGACAATTGTTATAAGAGGCAAGAAAAAGTGCCAAGAATAGGGAAGCTGAAGTCTCTACGAGTGTAGATCGGGGCGGTAGCATCATATTATATGCACGGATCATTCGTATATACCCCATGATAAGCGAAGGCAAGGGCATATATCGAAACAGGAAACAGCTGGACACCACCACAAATTTCACTTCCCTTTCCGGTCATTGACATGCTGAACTTCACGTCTCGGGCAATGCTGGGCCCCAGCCAAGAATAGGGAAGCTGAAGTCTCTACGAGTGTAGATCGGGGCGGTAGCATCATATTATATGCACGGATCATTCGTATATACCCCATGATAAGCAAAGGCAAGGGCATATATCGAAACAGGAAACAGCTGGACACCACCACAAATTTCACTTCCCTTTCCGGTCATTGACATGCTGAACTTCACGTCTCGGGCAATGCTGGGCCCCAGACTGCCCGGATAAGGAAGATATGAGTGCACATGCAATCCGTGAAAAATTATATGATTTCTGATACTGTCTAGAGTGGATGTGCTTTGCCGGGCAGAATGCCGGTCTGTACCTGTAGACGGCGGATGAGCAGACCGAGGATGTCGACGTCATCATGATCCTTGTCTACCAGCTCAGCATAGTGTATGTTCAACTCCTTCTCTAGATTCTACGGTACAAACACACACACACACACACACACACACACACACACACACACACACACACACACACTCACACTCACACACACACACACACACACACACACACACACTCACACACACACACACACACACATGCACAGACATGCAGACACAAACAGACAGACAGACACATACACAATATAGAGATAGGCAAACAGACAGATAGATAGACAGATAGACAGACAGACAAACAGTCAGACAGACAGTCAGACAGACATACAGACAGACAAACAAACAGTCAGACAGACATACACAGACAAACACACCCGGAGGAATAGAACTGTCCTCAATCTCCAGTCCAGGCAAGGTCTTATCACAGATTTTAAAAGTGCCACTAGCCACATCACATATCTCAACAAGCTGCTTGTGGGGCACTCACTGAGTGAGCAACTTACCCGCAAGGCAGTGAACTGTGACAGAGCAACATGACTACTCGGTGTTGCTGATGAGGATCCGCCAGGTGAGATGAGATGAACGATGAAGAGTGGTGTGACCCGCGGGTAGTCTTGGCTGATGAATACGGCAGCATGGAGCTGAGCTGTAGATACATACGTGTGTACACACATGCACATACACACACACATGCATGTGTGCACAAATGCACATACATACACATGCATGGACACACATGCACACACACACACACAAAAGTAAGAATGATTGGCCAGTTGAACCTATCTGGAAATGCAAAACAAGTGATTTGGAGAGAGAGAGAGAGAGAGAGAGAGAGAGAGAGAGAGAGAGAGAGAGAGAGAGAGAGAGAGAGAGAGAGACGCACGCACCCCCCCCCCCCCCCCACACACACACACAAAGATGTTCACTTCTTCTGTTACACGCACATGCCCCCCGCACACACGCATAGGTTTGGACAGGTTCAAACACAAACATGTAAGTACACACCTCTGTCGCCGGTTTTGCGTTCCAGCTGAGCTATATAGCAGATATCGGTTTTCTTGACGAGGTGGTTCTTGGAGGAAACACACACCCAAGACAGTGCCTGTAGCAAGAACAACACCAACACATACCCAAACACGATGCCGTGGACAAGGAGTTTGCTGAAGTCCTCGCCAGGGCGAGTGATGCGCCCCAGAACAGCGCGAGGCGACCGAGTCTGGCCAGCATGGCATCATCCAGCTCCCCAGCCACCATAGAACGACAGGACAACATCCGTAGAGTAAGGAAATATTCTTTGCACAAGGCAGTTGGCAGTTGACAGTTTGTGCTACACAACATCAGTACATAGGTATGGTTCGAAATCAAACCATGCACTCCAAAGGGTTAACTCTCCGCTCCCAAAGACCCCACCCACACACGCACACACACACACACTCACCCACGAAAACACACAAAACTCACCATAGGGTCTCGCATCTGTGCAAATGACACAAGCTTGTTAGAGAGACGAGTGGGGAAGAAGGCGGCAGAGTTGCCTCGAATCGGTATCTCGCATTGCTCTATTGCACACACATACACCACGTAGGGAAAAGAGAGAGAGAGAGAGAGAGAGAGAGAGAGAGAGAGAGAGAGAGAGAGAGAGAGAGAGAGAGAGAGAGAGAGAGAGAGAGAGAGATAGAGAGAACAATAAGAAAGACACCGGAACTCTTTTTGGCCACCCCCACGCTCTCTGCAGGCACTGCGAACAACACACCAAAGAATAACTGCACACTTCTCTACGGTTACACCAACATGAATATATCAAACGACGTACCGAGTGCAGTCAGTTGCTGCAGCAGAGCAAAGCGACTATCGATACGCGCGCGTATTGCCTTGACCACTTCGTCCAGTTGCTTAGGAGACTGTGTACAACATGGCAACAAAGAATCAAAACCAAGGAAAAGTACAGTGACAGGTCAGTATCTGGTATTGAAGGGGACATGAAAATCAGTGCTTATCGGAGTATAAGCCAAACCCTCTTTTTTATGGTGAAATTTTGAGTGTTTAAAGTGCGCCTTATACTCCGTATTAAATACGATACTCTAATTTCAGAAATTTTATAGGAAAGGGTTCGACCCCCACACTGGAGCTCGTGCTTTTCCGGCGACTTGACTCGACTGACTCACGACTGCCATCCAGAGCACACGAGAAGTGAAGTCGGCGAAAAAGCGCGAGCTCCAGTGCGGGGAGCGAACACTTTCCTATGAAACTAGAGAGGTTCTGCATAACGAATTTCGTCTCTGCTGATGATGAAAAATGTGATGAAATTTTCGGCGCGAAATTCAAACGCCGGTAGGTTCTGCAGGACGAAACTTTGCTGCTTTTTCAATGCTGCTTTTCTTATGATTTTTTCTGACTTGTGTTTCCGGAGCGAAAGCACTTGTTTGAGTCGTGAAGTGATGTCCGTGGCGTGGGTGTAGGAGATGTCGGTGGATATAGGAGATGATTACGAGGAGTTGTTATGTTGTTTCCTAATACTGGAATACGATGACGGAGACCTCGAGCAGGATGAATTGTAGTTCTGGTCACTGGAGTTCATTATGCAGCTGCTCAAGGTATGCTGATCAGTCATGAAATTGTGCCCATGCGTCTGGATATCGTAAGTCTGGATGATGAGACGTGCATCAGGCGCTTCCGCTGTACTGGGCAGCAGCTGAAAGACCTATACTTTGCGTTGCAGGTGCCGCAGAACTATAGATCTCCAGCTTGCCGGACCAAGTGGAGTGGCATGGAGGGTTTGCTGATTCTTCTCAGACGGCTGTGTGATCCCAGCCGGTTGTCGGACCTCTGTGATGAATTTGGGCGTTCAAAACCTGTGCTGTCGCTAATTTTCAATACAATGCTGATGTGGATCTGGCTGGAGATGGGGCCACCTGCTCAAAGATCCATTCACACAAGGATTCTTCAGCGCAGAGAGAGAGAGAGAGAGTTGCCACTTACTCCACAAAAATCACGGAGAATGTCGGCCCGATCTCCATGTGTGGGGTTTTATTGATGGGACCGTGAGGCCAATATGCCGTCCTGTCAGAGACCAGCAACAATGTTACAACGGACACAAACGAGTGCATGCCCTGAAGTTCCAGGTGGTGGTCACACTTGACGGCATGATCGCCCATCTCTTTGGTCTCCCGTGGAGGGGAGGAGGCATGATGCTGGTGTCTTGGCAGAGAGTGGACTCCTGCAACAGTTGGCTGCACATGTGGACGGCCCACATGGAGTGCCGTATGCGCTGTATGGAGACACGGCATACCCATTGTCGCATTCTGCAGAAGGCTTTCCATGGTGCAGCACTGACAGCCGCACAGCGTGATTTTAACACGCGGTTCAGCAACGTGAGAATAGCGGTGGACTGGGCCTTTGGAGAAATGTCTACACTCTGAGCCTATGTCGACATGAAAAAAACAGCAGAAGATGTTGCTTCAGCCAGTGGCTCTCTACTACTATGTCGCTACACTTTTCATAAATCTGCATACAATTGCACGCTATGGGAACAAAACCAGCAAGTTCTTCGGAGTCGACCCTCCCAGTTTGAACAAGTATTTGCAATGATGAGCCACTCAACCAGCGGACAGAACTGTTTCGTGCTTTTCGTCCCATGATGAGCTATATTATCACCATGAGCGCGCAGCGGAAAAGTGGACGAATATCCGTCGAAGTGGGCGCAGTGTAATCATAGAGTGAATGATTTATAAAAATCAGACGAGAGGCGGAAGCTTCTCAAAGAGCGGGACGGTCGCGCACCGCAATACGTCAGTCTTTTTTTTTTTTTTTACTTCAAAGTACAAACACTAACACACATAATCCAAAAGGGAACTGCTTCCCTGTACCGAAAATTTCTGTTTACCTAACCTGGCCTTTTGCCCTCATACCGAAAATATTGAGCACCGAAAATTTCTGAAATGGGAGTACAGTCAGACCTCGCTTATCCGGTCCTCTTTTATCCGGATCCCTCGCCATCCGGAAGAAAATCGTTGGTTACCGATTTACAGCATACGTCATGCATACATACAGTATGTGTGTTCGATTATCCGGTTCCCTCGCCTATCCGGATATTTTTGTGCAAAACAGATGTGTGCGGTTATGCGAGGTCTGACTGTACCCTGAATAACAGCATACAGCAGAGGTGGTGGTGGAGGGACAAGGCCCGTGGGCGTACCTCAGTTGTTCTCTCTGCCCGGTTAATGCCGGCCAAGCGCTGCAGCCAGTGATATGCCCGGCCTGCCGAGTCCACGTAATGATGAAACGGAGCCATGCTGACAGTGACGAGGTCATGCAGATACAGAGGCACACACACAGACACACACAGACAGACAGATAGACAGACAGGCATGCAAGCACACATTCTCTCACACACTCACACACACACACACACACACACACACACACACACACACACACACACACATGCACACAGAAAGACAACGGCAAGTCAAGACCCTGAGTTTGAAAAAGAGTCAGCATGAGACATAAGGTTAGGGTCCACAGATGGACAGACAGACAGACGGACAGGGACAACCAAAAAGACTGTCTAAATCTTGTCCAAACACACGCACACACACACATACACCACACACGTGCATGCACGCACGCATGCACACACAAACACACTAAAGTTCACGTCTAAATAAAGCACAGTGTTGTTCGCAGGAGTCAAGTACACGACAGGGGATGCTGTGCAGCCCTAGACCTGCAAACACCAGTTCACAGGGGTGCAATTTTGACTCGCACAATCAGACGTCATCAAGCAGCAGTGCCGAAAAGGACTATCTGTCTTACTGCTGTTGTTTCATGATTTCGGCCGCAATAGCAGAGTCGGGCTGTGTGCCATCATCCGCTTCCAACAAGTCACCAAGAACGCCAGCAGAAGTGAGTAGCGAACTGCGAGCACAAACACAAACGGGACATACCGGATTCTTGCTGTTAGTGGTCAAGTAATTCTGATCAAATCCAAGGATTCCGGACAAGCTTCCTCGTCTTCCTCGCCATCGCTGTTCACACACGCACTCGCACGAATGAACACACGCACATGCACCCACGTGTACACACACACACACACACACACACACACACATGCAGACAGACAGACAGACAGACAGACAGACAGACACACACACACACACACACAAACACACACACACACACAAACGGAGAGAAGGCATACCTGCAGGACGAGACGGTTGGTGCTTGCCATGATGGTGTGGCTTGCACTGTGACGATATTCAATATGGATAAGTACTTGAACGTCATCTCAACCTTGCCACAACCTAACAGTGGACACACACACACACACACACACACACACACACACACACACACACACACACACACACACAGGTATGCGCATGCACATGCACTTTTATGGTGAAGAGAAGAAAAGATACACTTTAAAATAGGAGAGGATCTTTACTCTGAGTATGGGCAGAAAGAAGCACCACAGAAATGATGAAAATCAAGCCGGGAAACTATTGTAGTGTGTGTGCTTTGTGTTAGTGTGCTTGTGCTTTGTGTGTGTGTGTGTGTGTGTGTGTGTGTGTGTGTGTGTGTGTGTGTGTGTGTGTGTGTGTGTGTGTGTGTGTGTGTGTGTGTGTGTGTGTGTGTGTGCATGTGCGTGTGCGTGCGGGTGTGTGTGTGTGTGTGTGTGCATGTGTGTGTGTGTGTGTGTGTGTGTGTGTGTGTGTGTGTGTACACATGTGTGCACGTGTGTGTGTGTGTGTGTGTGTGTGCTTGTGTGTGTGTGTTTGTGTGTGTGTGTATGTGTGCACGTGTGTGCGTGTGTGTGTATATGTGTGTGTGCATGTGCGGGCGTGTGTATGTGTGCATGTGTGCGCGTGTGTGAGAGCGAGAACAGGTATGACCACGCTACCTTTCTCCGCGATAACGACGTTGACAGTCATGGGATGTGGCTGAAGACACATCGTCTGACGCTGTCCCTCGTCTGTTACTGTGCGTCGGCGCTTCTGTAATACACCAAACAAAACAAGAACGACAAGCAACAGATGCAGATTAGACCCTGCTGATATGTTGGCAGCACACCACAAGGTGCTTACTAAGTATCTATCAAACAGTGGTTGATAAATATGGTGGTAAAGACAGACCTGGCAATATGGCGGTAAACGCACGCCTGCCCACACATGCTCTCTAAGCTGCAAAGTTCTGGCACAGAGCTCTCCTTCTCACAGGCGTGTGTTTACCGCCATATTGCCAGGTGTGTCTTTACCACCATATGTATCAACCATAAGGGGCCGTCCAAGGTTACCAAGAGTATTATCAAAACGAAAAGTTTTCGTTTGGGGGTGGGTGGGTTTGAAGGAGTTTCGTTTTGAAAATAATTATTGAACGCAGATGGAGAATGCCCAGTTACTTCTGGGTGTCGAAAATTGACATCAATATTTTACTGGAATTCGTTTACCTGCAGAAAAGGTAGGTGGGTGGGTGCTGAAAAATACTAAAACGTTTCGTTCTGCAAAAACTATTGGTAACCATGGACCCTAAGTACAGCTGCAGTGGTGTCTTCAACTTCAATCTATCAAACAAGGCTTACCTATACCAGATTAGAGCTTGTAACCTTAGAAGCAAGGCGGGATCATTGGATGGAGTACTCATTTCTTAGCTTGTACACCGGTTCTGCATGCTTGGCACAATGGTCAGGGCATTGGTCATCCAAACACTAGGTTGAGTGCTGGATTCTTAGTTTTAGATTATCCACGCACGCCCCAGGAGACCTATCTGGGATTCGGTACTCGACTTCGGTTGGGGAGGCAAAGGCCCGGGGACGAGGGAGAGGAGATGAGCGCCACCCGCACCATGTCAATCTCTGTAAAACAGGAAGTCTCACACACCTCTCGCCCCTACTGTCAGAATTGACTATGGACCATCGTGATCTCGACCGAACACCATGGAATATCACTAAAATCAAGACCTGATTATTTAGAGAGCTCGGCTTTTTTTAGTCCTTTGCAGGCAACTCAGCTACACTCACGTAAACACTTGCATTTTTTACACACAATCCAGTTACTTTGTCAACGTTTCCGTCTTTGTGACCATGGTCAGGAAGGGGTGGGTTTTTTTCTGAAGCAAATCTTCACCGCTCAGGAGCTACAGTGCTGATGGTTGCCGAAGAACTGGGGGTGCAGCCTCCTAGCCTAGACCGTTCTTATTTTCATGTACTAAAGTCTATGCACAGTTGAGTCACCGTGTATACATGAGTATGCTGTGCTTGGTAAAGTTCCAGCCTGGTCGTTCTTCTACAGTCTGGCCGTCGGCGAACCCCATACTCAGTAGATAGGCTATTCAGAGTTGCACATTCTCGGGGGCTTATCGACTCTTGGTACGGACTTACGGATTTGCGATGCGGTTGCGACTGAGCTTCTTCCTCCTCACCGGCCTCATTGTCTGAGTCGCACTCTCGGCGCAAAACTGAACAACACAGACCAACCCAGGGAAGAAATAGCAAAAGAAACGAAGCCTCAACATAATTATTGTGAGCATGTCGGCCTTCAATATTCCCTGTCCCACACGGGTACATACGAGTACACACACATGGACACACGCACGTGCACACACACATGCACGCACGTACACACACACACTTGAACAGTTTCACAAGGACATGCAAGGTGCTGCGGCACATCCATAAGACAACACAACAACCCCAGGAAACGTACACTTGGCACGCTGCTCTTCAATATTCCCCGCCGTGATCTTCTTGCCGGCGTCGCAGTCCCCACCGATGGAGAGGCTGATGGAGGATGCCGGTGAGTCGGGAGTGGTCTCCGTGTACGCTTGCAGCTGGGCGAAGAGCAGGTAGAGAGGCTCGGGAAGGTGACGCGCCGTGTCCAGCATCTGCCGCCGCTCGGCGAACGTTGACTGCAGAGCACCTTGCACTGGCTCCGTGGCCTGCAGGCATACAACATACAACACACACACACACACACACACACACACACACACACACACACACACACACACACACACACGCACACACATACACACACGTGGTGGTCACCGAAACCAGGTTTCCGAAAACTTCGGATTGGATAACAAAAAAAATCTTCTGATAAATTAATCCTCGGCTCTCCACCCGAGTCTCACTATGGATAATAAGGTCATGTATTGCTGACTTCTTCGTTTCAATATCCAGCTGTTCCTAGTCGTCGTCATCATCATCATCACCATCACCATAGTCGGCAATACATAGGCATTTGTTATCCAATCCAAAGTGATATAAATCATAAATATGATATGGTGGATTGTTAGTCATAACTAGTAACTTAAAGGTTCTTTTCTCTTTAAATATGATTTCCAAGAACTATTTGAGCAGCATTGAAGCGTGGGGGTGTGAGCGGGGGTGATAAACCCAGGCATTATCATTCTCCACTTGGCGTCCTCACCTTGAGAAGGGTGTCCAGTCCTGGGCGTATGCCGGCCAGATGTTGCTGCAACGTCTTGATCTCGCTGATGGCGGCATCTCGTTCACTGGTTGTGTTCGCCCGTCTTGTTACCAGTCTGAGAGAATCGGTGACACACAGTCGCAGAGCGTTTAGGGTAGTGTGTGTGTGTGCGTGCGTGTGTGTGTGTGTGTGTGTGTGTGTGTGTGTGTGTGTGTACGTGTGTATGTGTGTGTGTGCATGTATGCATTTGTTTGTATGTGGGTACTCACTCTTTCCTCTGCTCCAGTTCATCCTTGAGCCTGGCCAACATCAGACGATGATCATCTTTGAACTCATCCTGTATGACACACATACACACACACACACATACACACATACACACGCACACACACGCATGCGCGCGCACACACACACACACACACACACACACACACACACACACACACACACCATGTACCATACCATGTATACGCCTGTCGCAAGAGAAGCACGCACATCTGCACCTGCGCTGGATGTGCCCCCACAGAATATCTCTTATAGCAACGATAGGGGACAAGGTCTGAATGAGACAGATACGTGCATACGTGCACACATGCACAAACACCAGTGCACTTCCCCCTCCTCAATATCCAGTTCAATCTAAGCAGTGGTAAGGCTCTCAATCGAGAGGACGGACGGACGCGGCATGAACCATGCTGTGACGGTAACTCTCACCATATCCTGTGCGGTCTGTTTCATCCTCTCCAAGAACTCGTCTTCGGTCACAAGCTTCACGCTCTGATCAACCGCTCTGTTGGGGAAGAACAAACAGGGAAAAGGTAATTTATGCACACAATTTGTAAAATGGAAATTGTGCGCACAAGTTATACAATCAAGTCTACCAACTTAACCATTTTTGAACAGTCAGACATGCACAATTTAGCACAAAACTGACAAGGAGTACTGAGACATTCCACGGCATGAAAGTCAGCTTTCCATAATTTCCATGTTACAAAACGTTTCCTTGGCTCACCATCTTAGTTCTTTATGCACACAGTGATCAAATAATTCACATGGTATACACGTAGATGTTGGACTAACGGTGCATTCGACACCAGGGTTCTGTCGAAACGCACTTTGGGGGTGTAGCGAGCATGCACTTTCAAACATCTTACTGGAAGTCGAGGCACTTGGCAGCTTCGCACTTTAAGTGCAGTACTTGGTAATGTAGATTGTGCAGGGCTAGCTGCAGGCTGTCCACACGACGCTTGCTCTAGACAACGCAAACACACACACACACGCGCGCGCGCGGAGAAGAGTCAAGCACATGGAAACGCACGGAGATACACAGACACGTACAACGAACGACGACAACAACGAACTATCAGGGTGTACAATCCACGAAAATTGTGTCTGTACAAACCAGAACATACGTGCAAGCACGGGGGGGGGGGGGGGGGGGGGGTGCACATACACATGCACCTAATACACGTTATATACATACACGCGTGCACACACACACACACTAACAGTCACACACAAGCACTCTTCAGTACCTCCTGCACTGCCTCTCTCTGCTCCTTAACTTGCTCCTGTGCTGTCTGGTTGATATGCTTGAGTGCGCTGATAAGAACTACACCTTGACGACGCATATCCTCCACTGCCAAGTCACTCTACATGTTAGGAATCAACAAACACACACACACACACACACACACACACACACACGCACACACAGAGCAAGGAAGGAACCACTGAAGCTAAGCAACCCGCAGCAGTAACAACTGACAATGAAAGATCCACATAAAACCGGCCAACACAACATACTGTGGAACAAAACGTAGCCCGCCTCTCGGTTGATGAAAAGCAAAGCATATGAAAATTGTGAATATCCTGGGCATGATTCTCATGCACTGCAAAACGTGTCATACAGATGTGCCAAAAAATTAAGCCGCATTTCCCTCATATTTGTGCAAAGAAATTCCTATTTCCCCTCGTATTCATGTCCGTTCCAATCGTGCCGACTAGAAAGCAACATCTCCTCGAATTTCCAAGGCCAATAATTCCCCACTCCCCGAAGGAACATGCCTGAAGGCAAATGACCTTCGTTCTTTCGGCATCGTGAGGGATTTAAATTCATGTGTTGAGAAATTCACAGATACAATTAATTCTAATGAAAATGTGTCTAAAGTATTAACTGGTCTGAGGGAAAGAGACAAACGGGAAAAGCCTGATGAGTGTTTTTGAACACGAAACTCGGAGTCCCGAGACAGCTTTTGGTCTCTGTTGTTCTGCCTTGTGTAGTACGCTCTGCGCTTGTTAGGGTATTGAGCACTACATGTATTTGGCAGCAAGGACTTCAGACACTTTGTGTAATGGAAATGAATGTATCCATTGGCATAATGTGTGGGGGGGGGGGAGTATGTGTACCTTGCTTGCAGATAGAGCTTTGCTCTTTAGCACGCTCTGCATCAGGTCCTTCATCGACGTGATCTTGCCCTGGAATTTCCCATGCAGCTGTCCCATTGCGGCCAGCGTCGCGTCGGTGGACTCGGCTTCCATGGCCGCCTCGCTCGCGTCCGCACTGACACGCGCTTTCTTGGGGGACGGCTCATCACCATCGCCCGCCGACAGCCTGCGCTTCATCTTCAAGCAATAATCGCTCAGAGCAAGCAAAGCATTTCAAAATACGAATACAATTACAATGACCGGCGTCGTAACTCATCAAACAAACTCTTGAAACAGTTTTCTGTTTTGGTGAGAAAATGGAAAAGAATTGTTGCAGAGTTTGAAAACGGGAAAAAAAACGTCTGCAGGTTTGACGTCAGTACACAGTCTGCCGGAGGACACCATGGCGAATCCAGAACTGCTGTGTCAGTGAACAGTCTGTCGGAGGAAATCACGGCGAATCCAGCGGTCATACAATCCGATAATCATACATACAATAATGGTCGCTTGCTATGTAATGGTCCCATTACTGGCCGCATTAGCCAGCACTTGCTAGCGCTATGAATAGTGGCAAGAGTAGATAAACAGAATATTAATTTTATCTACTCTTGATAGGGGGCATTCCCAGATTGCTAGGGTGCTGAACACCGCAAGGGTGGAGCAATACCATAGTCCTGTTGACGGTCTGAGGGTAGCCTTAGACTTACAGAGTTTATAAATATTGAGTACACACACAACACAGGCGAAAGGCTGTGTTAGATTGAGTATCAAGATGATTCAAGAACACATCCAGAAGCGAACAAAGAATACACGACTGACAGTACAATACCCGTGAAGACTCAACTTCGACAACTGTTACTCCCTAGTATATTTATTCATTTTATTAAATTTTATTTATTTCACTCAACTCGTGGTCCATGACCAATTGGCACGCAAAGTGCAAGAGAGGGGTGATAGCCAACCACGGCAAGAAAAGAAAAGAAAGGAATATAGAAAAAGAGAAGAAAGAAGGATAGACAAGAATCCAGCAAGGAGATCCTATCATGCTACATTATGCGATCGGAGTGCATTTTTAAAGCTGGAAAGACATTTTAATGTCTTAACATGCTGGGGAAGTTGCAGCCAAAGGCTGTAGGACAAAAACAGAGGAGAGTTGGTAAATGCATATTGAGGGTCAGAACCAGGGCTTCCACCCGTAAGGTTAAAATGGTCGCAAGACGGGGGCTCTGCCAACCGTGGATGGTTGTCGTACGGTCACTGTTTCCGAACACGGTGGTCCTCCACCTTGTTTCATGCGCTCGACCAACAACATGAGTCATGACTGTACAGAAGCCTGTGTCAGTAGGCCTTTGCGGATTCTGCCGGCAGAAAAATTGGCAGAATTCGGTACTTTTTCTGGTAAGTTTCATGTATGTTTGGTATGTGGATAAAGAAATGGAGCAGAATTTGAGGAATTGCCCGCCATAAGGTTTGTATGATTCTGCCAATTTCACTGCTTTTCGAGCAGAATCTGCCACCTTTTCGAGCAGAATCTGCCACCTTTTCGAGCATTATCAGCCAATGCCTACTGTACAGCCATGTACATGTACATGAATAGGCCAGTGCAGTAGTTCTAGTACCGGTACACGTAAATCTACAATAGGAAACGAGATCGAGGTGAATCCCTATCTTCCCATGATCCTGCATGAGCCTTATTTGTTTTGTTTTTCAAGATCAGCCACAAACCATCATGGTGCAAGGTGCAAACGTCAGCAGAACATCGCAAGGAGACTCATACTAGCCTCAAGAGTATACCGTAAAGTCTTGTATAAAGGCCGCGGCTTCTATGACTTTCTTGGTGAAATTTTGCAGGCTTCTATATGAGACAGGCTTCTATACAAGACAGGTATTTCTATGTATGTCAACACTAAAACCAGGCTTATGTGTGATTTGATGGGCCCCAAATTGCGGCTTCTATTCGAGGGCGGCTTCTATTCAAGTGCGGCTTTTATACAAGACTTTACGGGTAGTCATAACCAGGGGGGGGGGGGGTGTTACACACACACAACAGAGGCGAAAGGCGGTGTAGCTGTACCTCTAAGTTTCACACATTTCAGCGATCATCAGACAGCAGCATTTACTTATGATCGAATCCTTCTACGAGCAGGCCTAGATTTGATGCTAGTGTGGAAGTTACTAGTATTTTTGTGAAGTGTAGACGTGGCATTGGGACAGTGCCAGAGGGGGGGGGGGGGGGGGCTATGTTCTCTTGATAGGCTAGATAGCGTTGGCTGCCGAAGAGGTAGAGCCACTAGAGGTCGTGAAAGAGCAGGTACACCGACGAAAGATCTGACTTTCGTCGGTATCAACACAGCTCATGACCGTTGGATACGCTCTATCCGTTAGATCTGCGAAGTACAGCGGTAAAAATACTTCCAAATTGTGTGTTGCTCCCTACATGGGAGCTCGCGCTTTTCCTGCCGACTTGAATTCTCACTTGACTGACTCACGACTGCCATCCAGCCATCACACGAGAAGTGCATCGAACCTTCCACTCGGCAGACCTGCAAGAAAGCACCACTCCCTGCTCAATGCACAGTGTTTCGGGGAATTCACCCATCATCACTCCCTGCCCAATGCACAGTGTTTCGGGGAATTCGCCCCTCATCAGTTGAGCTTGAGTAGGCTGAGGAAGATTATGCCTGAAGAGCAGCAAAAATACTTCCAGCCAGCTAATAAATCACCAGAATTCATTCCGTCATACCATTTCGAAGAGACCTTCAGGCTCAGCTCACGCAATAATAATCACAAACGCCGCATGAATAAAAGTGTTGAAAGCAGTCATTAGGCAACCTTGCATGGGACTGACTCCAGCTAGGAGGCATGACCGTGACCACACCATGCATACATGAACATGGAGGTAGAGCGTGAAGAGAGGTGACTCAGGTCACGTGAGAGCCTCGGTAAAGAAGCCATTAATGCCACCAGACGCCGAGACCACCAAGGTCGGCTGAGCAGCAGGGCCCCGCCACCACTTTCCGCATTCATTCGTGAGCATAGGGGACTTCGTGAAAAAAAACTCTGGCGCGTGCTTGGTCTACTCAGCCAGGTACCTTCGCCACCGGGCACGGGAGTTGCGTCCGCCACCTGTTCGTTGCACTGATCAGGAATGGTGATGGACAGGCACGAGCAAAGCCTCCTACATTGTAAGCAAGGAGCCCTGCACATAGCGTCGGGCTACCTGGTTGTAACGGCTGGTTGTGTGTTCTAAGCATACAGTCCCGGCCAGATGAATCCGACCCTATGCCTGGATATAATTTTAAATCATAATTATAATACAATGTAGCTCCGAGGACTACACGACCCTAACACCAAACACATCACTATGCTCGCTTGTGCGTGGCGCGACTTTATTTATTTTATTTATTCATGCCGCGTCGGATTTCTCTGGCCAGGACTAATACAATAATTATTGTATACCTGTACAGTGAAACCTGTGACTAACGACCACCCGGCCCTTCGGGCCAGAGAAAGCGGTCTTTAGTGGCACGTGATCCTTAGTTAGAGGTTTGCACGGCAACCAGACTAATAATTATTATGAATGTGATACGACCGTGCCTGGCTAAGTGGTCCTTAGTACCAGGCTGGTCGCTGGCCACGGTGGTCTTTAGTTACAGGTTTTAGTAGTAGCTGCTGGTAGCGTGGATATCCGAACGAAGCCGAACTAACTTTGTTCTCTTCTCAAAACCTTCTTTTTCAATAGGCACGTACGTGTGCACGATTACAGGGAGACGAGGAAGTGAAGATGAGCACGCACCGACCGCACTCAGTATGTCGAACCCATCACTCTGGCCGAAGGGGGACGGAAGGACATGGTAACGCGGTTCCGCGTTTTAAGAACGCGCGAGATCTCGTTACCATGTTCTTCTGTCCGTTTACGGTCAGGGTTGGGTCAGGGTTGACCATGGACCACATATTCACCTTGATCTTCTACCAAAGCACATAACCCCACCTGTACTCTTGCTTCTGCTAAGTTCTAGACGGTGTTACGCACATGCATGGTCGGATCGCTATGTTGCTGGTACATAAAAGGTACACATACACATATGCATGTACAGAAACAACGGAGGCGAAAGTCTGTGTTTCAACTTTCAAGTAGTTTCACGCATTTCCCCTGCTCTGTACATGTGTGCATCGAGCACTCTGCTTCGAGCTAGCTGCCTCGACCGGCCTTGTTTATGCATGTACATGTACAGTACATGTAGGTGAATCTCCTGTACACGTACAGCCCTGGCCTGAGCAATCCGGCCCAAAGAATTTTGTAGCGCCGAGAGCTACGCAGCCCTTGCATCACAAACACCACGCTGTTGACTTGAGTTTTTTTTTTGAGTTTTTTTTGAGTTTTTTTTTGAGTTTTTTTTAAAGTTTTTTTTAAATTTTTAAACCCTCTTTTACGAGCGAACAAAACACAATTAATTTTCCATGACGGAGGTGGAGGATTGAAAAGCAAATCACATAAATGATGATAGCTATGAAAAGTATGAATGCCGCAGACATCACCACGCAACAGGACAATTTGTTCAAGGTTTGGTTTTGTGTGTTTCCAAAATCGATTTTCACGCTCCGATCATCAGTGGAAATACGGAACTTAAGAGATCAAGGGAAAAACAAACGTTAAAAATCCAAAGAAGTGTGACACATGACGGGTAACTTGTGGCAAGTATTACAAAAAGTGAGAACTAAAATAAAGAGTAAGTGTGACAAACGGGCATGAACAGTGCAGAAACAACTCATGAACACGGGGTGCAAACTCACGAAAATAACCTAAGTGCTAAAACATGTTCTTTTTGCTTACACAAACCGGTTACCCGTCATGTGTCACACTTCTTTGGATTTTTAACCTTTGTTTTTCCCTTGATCTCTTTAGTTCCGTATTTCCACTGATGATCGGAGCGTGAAAATCGATTTTGGAAACACACAAAACCAAACCTTGAACAAATTGTCATGTTGCGTGGTGATGTCTGCGGCATTCATACTTTTCATAGCTATTATTAAACTTTTATCTCCACGTAGATTATTTGTACATAATGATGACGTCACATTTGATCAGAGGGCAAGATTTAGAAAAGCGATCCTGTCAGCTTTTCTATTATTGTGTTCACATGGCAAGAAAAACGACACCGCTATGCTACGTAACTTTCTACGTAAGGTGCTCGGTATTTCACTTAGGCTACGTAAATCTCTACGTAAGGTGCTCGGTATTAGATCTACCAACGGGTGGAAGCCGCGTGCTGTGCACTGCACGGCAGACATTGTGTTGCAGTGCAGTCCGTGTTCGGATGTGCATGCGCAAGGAACTTCCTTCTTTGGAACTGCTTCTTGTATGAGCTGTTTCGGATATTTCGACTCCTGGCCTGGCTTATTTCGTTTCGGCGCTGCTGAGACCTCCTTTCGCGGAATATTACTGACAGGTGAGTTGACCAGTTCCCTTTGATTCATTTGCTTGTGTTCACTCTTTCATTTACGAAAAGTGTGCTGATCTTGGGCGGAATGCAATAAATAATGGAAAAGCTGACAGGATCTCTTTTCTAAATAATTTAGCTTTTCCGCTGCCGAGGCCTCCTTTTACGGAATACTCGATGACAGGTGATCTCTGAGTTGACCGGTTTCCTTCGATTCATTTGCTTATGCTCACCCTTTCATTTACGGAAACGTGTGCTGATTTTATTCGGATTTAGATCCATTTTTATCTCTTTGCCCTTGTCTACAGTGTACGAAGAACGCGAGTTCACGGTAAGGCTTACCGGTATGTTAAAATGCGTTGTCGAAATACTCATATTCATTGTACATTGGAACGTTACAAGTAAGGCACTGGTCAGTGGCATACTATCGTTGGCAGTTCCCAATCTGGAGGAAAAGGTTCAAGGACCCATTGACCGAGTTTGCAAAATAAATTCGCATATCAGGGAAAATCTCCATTGTGGAGAGGTTCAGTAAACTTGTTTGCTTCATACGAAACAAGCCAATGGGTGCAGTATCGTCTCGTGAAGATCTCGTACTTGTATGATTGGATTTGTTTACTTGAGTCTGGGCTGTTTGATTTATTATTTGTGAGTACCGCCGAGATTGCACTGCCCCAAATAAAGTTTCGTGCCGCCAAAGCAAGAAGTACGATCTGCAATCTGTTTGTAGTACCTGCAAGAATGTGCTGTACATGTATCGTACTTTCTCTGTTGCTGTTTCAGTTGCCGTCATGTTGTTAAAGAAACGTTCAGTAGAGAGGTTCTGCAAAACGAAAATTCGAACGAAGTTTCTCGACAGTCCTTGCGAAAGTGTGTGCGAATTTTTGCACGAACTCTGCGTTCTGCACATTTTCGTAGTTTGCGCGGGCCAAGTGCACGTACGCCATGACCCGATCTCACGAAATGTCCTACGAGTACGACAGTTCATTTCGCGTTCCCTGCAAGTTTCGCGTCCAAAGTTGCGAAGTTTTGCACTTCATGGCAATGAACGAACCTTTTTACGCATTTTCGTTTTGCAGAACCTCTCTAGTGACTCATTTGTTTCATACGAGACGAGTCAATGAGTTGGTGTGGCTTAGAATCTTTCGCTGTAGAAGAAATCTATTCGTATGTCTATTGGAGAAATAATTGTATTCACTGGTTATAAAATAGGTTAAGACAAACTCACAGAATAAATACCATTGGTCCCTTGGTGTTCGTCCTAAAGAGGTTCGACTGGATATCATTCATACTCACCAAAAGATGTGTAAGATTTTATTATTATGGAGTGCCTTGTTTATCTCTCAGTACCTCCAACCAAAGCCTATCCTCTTTTATCCTCAGGATCAGTGTAGTTGTTGGAAGGAGGTGTCGGACTCAGCAATGTATTTGTTTACATTTTAATACATGTTTATTGTTCCTCCTTTGTGTTGTTTTAGAAAATCGTGGACTACCAGTTTGAAGTCATTGAACTACTTCCAAAAGTTGTATCGACTTCAACAGGATTACGATTTCAGTGCAATATGATGCAGGATGACCTTATCACGATAACCCATGATTATAAACCATTATAAACACAGAATCAACAAAAACATCTGCGACAAGTACCTTGTTACATTTCTCAAATAAATCTGATCGAGGGTGGGGAAATCTGAAATATCTGAAAGGCAAGACAATTTTATGACAGTCATGAAACACCCTAGTAAAATAAATAAAATAATAATAATAATAATAATGAAATTCTGCTACAGCAACATGCACAGAATGACCTCCTTATAAAAAAAGTATCACCACTGTCCACCACTACACTCACATGTATCCCCGCAGAAGAACATGCTAGTGCCATTTTCTGCAAGAAAAGGCTTGCACATCAATGCGTATGATACGGTGTAATTGACATGATGTGAAGGCCATCATTTACATAATTATTGATATAGGGCATTCCATTGGTGACAGAAAAAACAAAAGAAATTATAGCAATAAAAACTGCTTTATGGCAGTTTTCTAAAAAAAGTTATTGTGTTCTCGTCCATGGACCCCGTCTAAAAAGTAAGAAATTAACGAAATGTGATAGCCGAAAATTAAAATTTCACACAAAACCTCACAATAATCACATACAGAATGAAAAGCTACATGCAGAAGACCTGTAAAAGGCCCTAGGCTTGTGGGACTGCCGTATTCAAAATTTAATAATAATAATAATAAGACCTTTTCCCCTCGTGATCCTCTTTCCTATGCATGCATGACATGCATGTTGCCAATTGTTGTGCGGTACAAGTTTAGTGTTGAAAGCAGCATTTCAAGTGTTGTGATTATTGTGAGGTTTTGTGTGAAATTTTAATTTTCGGCTATCACATTTCGTTAATTTCTTACTTTTTAGACGGGGTCCATGGACGAGAACACAATAACTTTTTTTAGAAAACTGCCATAAAGCAGTTTTTATTGCTATAATAAGCATAGCATAGTCCGCACAATCACGGGCCAAGGCTCAACGGGACACCCTCGCCTAGGGCTGTTGACTTGAGCGCTACTACTACTAGTACTACTACTTTATTCATGAGGTCGGATTTCTCCGGCTGTACGTACGAATACCATGCCCATGGTTGGTAGCCCATGCCCATGGCAGATTCTGCTCGAAATGCAGTGAAATCGGCAGAACCATACGAACCCTAGAACAAGCTGGTAAAACCTCGTTTACGGGCAAACAAACTAAAGCAATTTGCAATTTATGGAGGAGTAGAACACAATTCAAGTAATGAAAACAATTGCATGAAAGGAAGAATGTGATAAGTAAATTGGGACCCTACTCAAATACAGCAGAATTCAATGAAGCGAGCCCTAGAACAAGTACTTCCTTGAATTCTGCTCCATTTCTATACTCCAGTGTACCAAACATGCAAGAAAGAAACTTGCCAGAAAAACCAAGTTCTGACAATTTTTCTGCCAGCATTTTCGCCCAGGGGCTATACCGCGGTGCCAATCAAAGTATGTGTGATTAGCACCTGCGTTCAGTAGACAGTAGAACACAGTAGCGGGAAATGCCCGTCCACACACACACACACACACACACACACACACACACACGACCGGAGCAAAAAGTACAGAAGGAAGGAAAAGATCCAGACAGAGCGAATGGGACTGCAATTGAGTGGGGCTGCTGCACCAAGCAGCGATGACGATGTTCGCTCGTGTCTTCTTCCCTTTCCTGACCGAAATGCAGGTTGAGTATTAGAAACCAAGTTCATTGTTATAGTACGTGGTGATGTTTATGCCGCGGCGGCGAGTGAGGAGCATCCTGTCTGCCCTCGAAAACTTCGTAACTGAGCTGGGAGCAATTGCTTACTTCCCGTGCACCTCCTTCCTGCGCTTGTTTGACTGCTCTGGGCAAGCGGGTACAAGTACATGATTGTAGTCGCAGACCCAGCTGTTCCCACACAGGGTATCCCCAGGACCCCAACCCTTCAACGCTTCCTCCACCCTTCCATTCTTCCTGCTTTAGTTTAGGTGAAAATAGCTAGTGCACCCTCTCTCAATCATGTACAGTAAAACCTGTCAAGGCGACCACTCGGATAAGGCGACCACCTGTCCCAGACGACCACTGAAACCAGGACCAAGGGATGCTTTTTCCAGTCAAATGACCCCGGATAAGGAGGCATAGTGGGATGGTCTAAGACCATAATTGAGAAACAGAGGGTACCAGGTTCAAGAGATCAAGAGGGTACCAGGTTCAAGTCCTGCTTGGAAGCGGAAGGAATTTTTCCAGCCGTGCTGCGACCCACAGTTAATTGGGAACTCGTGGCCTGGCACGAGGGTAACATGGATGCAGCTAATGGGATTTCGGTCTTTGACCACTTGGTGGTGGGTCTGATCTACTCACCTCCCACCGTTTAGGAGCTGCATCTGCGCCTTGATCCTAGAGGGTGGTGGCGTTCCCACGGCGGATGCGGAAAACTCGGCTTCCAGCCGAGTCTCACGCGAACCGTGAAATTTAATTTAAGGAGACCACTAAGTCTTGGTAACCGAGACTACGTTTTGAAGGTTCCTTGAGCGGTCGTCTTAGACAGTTTTCACTACAGATGTACGTGTAATTGTTGGTTTTAAGTCTCATCCTAGAGCGCCGGTCATCATGGTCATCATCGTGCAGGATTGGGAAAGAGTATGCGCGATGATCGACATGCACACCTCGCCAAGATAGCCGCCAGTGAGTCTGCGAGTACTCGAGTGTGCGTGTGAGTGCAATACAATGCTCATGCCTGGTGAAAAACCGAGGAAGTACCACGGCAAGACCTCTAAGAATGCTCCTTCGTGCAGTCAGCACAGCGGAGATGTGTTCCAGGAGGCATGCATGCAACCACCAGGTCGTTGACGTGATGTTATTTTTCGCGCTGGATGCCTCGAGCTCGCGCGAGGACGGGCAGAAATCGCGTCAGCGTGATCACGGTTCGCCGAGCAATGCCGATCGGGGCAGCTTAACCCTACCTGCACTGGCCATACAGCCGAGTGCCCAACCAGCTGGCCGGCATTGACATTCGCCACAAACTGTCCGTCGACCACTCTACCTTGCGGCTTACACGGATGTAGGTGATTAGGTGCCAGCTACGGGAAAGGTACTAGGAGTGGTGCGTGTCAAACCTCTGTTTTGCGATTAGACGTCGCCCCTAGGGAAAGACCAAATCAAATATGGCAGAACCCCAAATACTGCTAGTAGAATGCAGCCACAGCGTTGGGCCGAGAGTTCTCTACGCCATAATAGTTTCCAGTGCCAATTTCACCCAAGTATATGCTAGACTTATGTACAGCATACCTAGCTAAGGCAAATGGGCAATGTCGCTCGAACACCATTCCCAGCATACAACCGTGCATGAGGTCAACGGGGCTGCACGCAGGCCCAAGTCACAGCTCTGTAGCAGGCAGTCCCACTTGCGAACCACTCTATCCCGTCGTATCATCAGACTTGCTGCTGGCAGTAACGTTAGACAAAGGTAATTCTCACTAGCAGCTTTGGCCACACAACATTCCTACACACAGAGGCTACGTGGCAATGCTTCGTATTGTTTGAAAACTTTTCTGGTAGCATCATACGGTCTGAGCCTCCCGTGAGCAAACCCACAACACCAACTCGTGCAAACAGTGGACGGTAAAAGCCCTTCTCAGGAACGACTCGATGGTTTAGCATCACTGGAGTCAAGATTGACGCATGCGAAAAAGTTGTCTTCCTATTCAACACCACAGTTGGCGTATGAAGTGATTTCTGGGACGCCGTGGAGAAGTGGAGGTGAATCCGCGAATCAGTGCTTGGTTCAAAAGTCGTGGACGTGCCGGGGACTGGAGGATCTACAACTGTAGACTACGTCACAGTGTTTCATGTTGGAGCAGCAGCTCAACAGAATCAAGGTAAGAAACAGAGCTTCTGCCCACCCTAACTCGTGCACAAGCAAGCTTATCATTATGATATGATTGATTTCTCTACCTACTACTGTACTCTTATCATCATGGTCTATCGGTATTTCTGATCATCAACGTGATGCTGGTATTGCTAAGTGGTTCGGTGGCACGTTTACACTGATGCCTTAACAGCGGCCTTAAAGCAGGGTGTTGTCGATGGGGGCTTGCAAAAATTAATTTCCTTGATCAATCCATGCCCATGCTTCGTCCGTCTTCGTCGACGTGTGCCACTCAGGCCACTCAGGTCTCGTGTTAGCTTGGGTGCATGGTCGGTTAACCCAGCACGTTAAGAAGAAGGTGTGTGCTTAGATGTGCCGTTATGTTGCCATCACAATAAGGCTTCCAAGCACACAGCACACAACGCCTGTGAGTCGAGTACGTCTGGAGATCACCACCCGATCGTGTACCAAAAAGTAACTACACAAATATCATCACGACAAATGAATAGATACAATCACACTTTGCGTACTTTCCTTATACACTTTCATCCAAAATGTCAGCAGCAGAAACAAAGCAGCAGTCAGTAGCTTGCTTGATGCACCTCAAATGAGAAGTCTATTGCAGACGGCAGGACGTTCAAATGGCATGAATGGCCATGTGAAAACATGGCGACAATCAGGCCGAGACCAAAGACAAGGACACAGACAACCGTCGGAGATCAATGGCGTTTTGGAAAGGAGACACGAGCTACAGCCTGTGCATGTACAGTGGATGACGGCGATACAGGCACACACCCAATTACGTGTGTGCCTGCAAAGATGCACTATGCTTTGCAAGCGTCGCGTTACTGAGGATTCTACACTACATTACATAGTCAGGATTGTGTTACACGACACGCGAGTACACATTTTCCTTGTGGACCCTTTTAGGCTCTTTGCTTTAACAAGCCTGAAAACATAGACATTTTCATGTAGTACTTGTGGCGGATCTTAATCGGCTTGTTTTGAAGTTGTTTCACTTCTAGTTTCGATCGGGCATGCACGCGAAGCACAGGGCAGGCGATTTCGGTCTAACAACCGCAGCGACAACCATAGCATGCACACACGCGCGCACATACACACACACGCACACAGAGCATTCCTCTGACAGCTGAATGCTCCAACAAACCGGGGCCAGCGTCCGTTCTCAACCTTCTACGCCATTGAGCTTCAGCTCGTTCTTGTCTGCAGTCACTTAGAGTTATGCACATGTAGCTGCTCAAACGTCAGGTCGAATCAAGATGGATGTGTACATGAAGTTCTATACGGTAAATATGGCGACTGTGTCATTGAAGGCGATGGGTAGCTGAATGTTTGAGGGTGATACCAGTCATACTCACGGAGTGGCATCATTTCCTGAATGGGGGAAAGAAGACTAGATCTTTATCACGAAACTTGACACAAGCGTTAGAAGCTTCTAATCGCGAGAGATGTGCATGCGTGCCTGAACTGATCGTTATCACGGTGTAGCATTACAATTGCAGTATTGTCGCTGTGCTCAACGTATTAGTAACCTCTGGGAGGTGCGAGCGGGAGAAGTGCGTGTGTGAAGGTCGTTAGTTGCTTATCGCGAAATGAACAATGCCCTGGGTTGCAATGGCCAAAAAAGGATAATATTGCATGCATGTACATGACTTTTGTATCTGTATGCGTGTCGGTAGTGTGAATGCATGGCTGAGCGTGCTTTGGGAATATACACAGCCTTCGTAGTTCGGTAACAGCTACGACGAAGATACTCGACACTTAAGGTTTCGTGCTGGTCCGTGGGGAGTGTCATTTCTCCGTCAGTATTACGCTGCAACGAACGGGTTTCGCATCGAAGGCTTCGCGCGGAGAACCTCACTAGGATGGGCAGGAAGGCGCGTCTGTCCCGTTTGTTGCTGAGTGATCATGAGAGGGGGATGATCCTGTTGTGTTCCGTTATGCATTCACAAACCCTTCCCGCTTTCGCTACGATCTCTACCGGTCGTGCTGAAACCTTCCAATCTCTTAGGCGTACGTGTTGGGGAAAATGCCAAAAGAACCCAACTCCTAAAACCATCGATCGTACCTTCGCCAATCATGCTTTTCATCCACAGAGCTCTTTAGCGTCGGTTCCTCGACGATACCGAGCAATCTGGGACGCATAAGGCATTTGCATCACGTGTACATGTAGATATTTCCCGTGCTACCATTCATGCAGCGGCAGACGCGCGGTATAGGGTAATCGAGTGACCACCATAATGGTGGTGTAATGCAGTTTTCTCGATCACCTAGTCCAGAGTACATCATAGTGCATACTTCACGGCACCAATAGTACATAAACCTAGCGGTTAAAATTAAACCTAATGGTTATATACCCTTGTTCCTGATCATAGCCAGCCGTAACCCATAACACCATGTCTTTAAGTAGTTGCGCAGTGGTCAGACATCGATCGCGGAGCCGACGGCATCACCGATCGTGTGCCTGCTGCAAGCTATAGTTTAGTTAGGCATGGTGACTGGTCAGTGAATCTCTGGTGAGATGGATGTACAATCATGTACATACGCGGGGAACAGGGGATAGAGATTTACAACGCCAAGTGCCGGTTGTAGCTTCGTAATTCCCTCAATAATTTTGCTGGCACTGACTGGCACTCAGCAAACACAACCATCGCTGCTCTGCTAAGTCAGACGAGCGCTAAAATAGTAACAGCTTTTATGTAAAGCCATTCAGATGGAGAAAACGAACAATCAATTTTCATGTAGGACTTTTCAAGTAGACCAATGTAGTCATCATGCTTTAGATTATCTGATGTACTTGTCAGCTACTTGTACATAGGTACATATGTACATGTAAAAGACATTATGTCCTCCACCTTGTTTCATGCATGTGTAAAACTAAAAGACTACTAGCAGATAGGATCGACTAGGCGCCATGCGCAAACTGATGTTGGTGGCGAGAGAAGGTCCGCTCTTTGCCAGAACTCTTCAGAGAGTTTCACTTTTGGCAGGACTCGGAGGGTTCACCACCGGTGCACCCGGAGATGAGAAGGCAGTATTGCCTGTACCCATAAAGAAGCAAACTAAAAGAATACGTCGCAGTCGTAGAGAGCGTTGTGTGGGCAGGCGTGTAGTATTATCACTCCTCCAGCGTAACTTTCTAATTCCTGTTTCTTTTCTGAATTCGGCTTATCCATTCGCCTTCATATCATTGGGCCTAGTTCCCGCTTTGTTCGTGCGAATTAAAACAAACCAACCAGTTCGCTGGGCGTGTCATTTCTCCACAACGTGCAAATCATCACTTGCTTTATCGCTCGTGGCTGCATAGTGATTGCAAATTCCTCAACAGTGACACAGATCAAAGGTATGTGGCTGGATCATTCGGATCTTATTAAGTTGTGAGCTTTTAGGCTAAGTTTTAGCTGCAATGAAAATCCTTGGTTACACATTCGGTCTTTTCTTTGAAGTTAGTCGGAACACTAATGATACAAATTCCACGTTGTGTGGCAGACGTTCACAGTAAACGCCTGGACCATTTGCCCTCGAAGCGTGTTCGCTCGGACACTGGAAGATGTAACGTCTGCTAGCGTGGGTGACATTGGCGGTCACTGTCTCGTACGCCTTCGCGTGAGTTGATGTAGCCTTCGCCTGAATGTGTTTCTCCCGTGGACAAGGAGGATGAAGAAAATGGTTGTTGTTGTTATTGGACTTAGCACAAGAACGAAGCAAATAGGGACGGGGAGGAATGAGCAAAATACGAGAAAGGACATTTGAATTTGCAAGCCCGTAGAAGCAAACGCATGGAGCTGTTGAAAACCCACGCCATACATGTACATGATTGCACTTCTTGAAGTATATTAAACCAGATCAAAACCAGAGTGAAACGGATGACTGAATTGGGATAGACATTGGTTTGATTCGGTCTCTATTATTTCAGTTCTTTGCCTCAACAGTTTAACAATCGAGTGTGCAGAATTCTACACATTCAAGTATGGGGCGGCTCTCTAAGGTTTAAAGTAATATTAACTTCTCCAGAGTAACTAACATTGAAGAGAAAAGTGAAACAGAGCAACAAGGAAGATGTGACTGGAAGAAAGGAAAAAAACCGAAGAGCGAAATGGGACTGGGCGAATTCGTGAACCTGTACTACATGTATAGCGGGACAAGACGTGACCAGCAGAGGACTTAATTTAAACACTGGTTTCTCCTCTTTGCACAGCTGCAATGTACTTTTCAACTATAAAGCATTGTGTTCCTTCACGCAATTCTTTACAATGAAGAGCCAAACCCAGCGAAGAATGTTGAGGCTTGTGTCAATTCATAGTGCCATTAATTTTGTTGACCCGATCAGTAATAGTACTAGCAAGGGTAAATGAGCTTGATTACTCTCGGTATTTAAAGTTAGTATAATTATGTAGTGGTATTATTGGAACCGGGTAACCCAATCACAGAGAAGGGCCTCGACCGTACAAACACAGTTAGTGTCAGTGAGCCACACCACCACTCATTGGGGCTTGTCTGGCTAGCAGCACAGTAACACTAACAGGCCCGATCAAGAGAAGGAAGGCTACTGAGTACTGAGCTCAGTCCTGTAGTTGGTCTTGCCCGTCGATCTGGTGTCGCTGTCATCTGTCACGTTGTTGCACCGCGGAAATAGGGGATGCCAGTGCCACTGTGTGGCTTTACAGTTTACTCACGACGTCGACGGCCGAGCTAATTGCCTAGACCACCGTCCATATTTGCGTGGGTTAGTTTGTACAGTGAAACCTGTCTGCGGCGACCGCTCAAGAGACCTTCAAAACGTGGTCTCTCCTACCAGGTTGTCTCCTTATCCAGGGTCATTTGCCTGGACTGAATCACGGGCATCCCTTGGTCCTAGTTGCAGTGGTCATCTGGCTAAGACAGGTGGTCGACTTATGAGAGTGGTCGCCTTGACAGGTTTTACTGCATTATGGTGTTTCTACTACAGTAAAACCTGGTTTAAGCGACCACCCCACGGTGCAAGGAAAAGTGGTCGTTAAAGCCAGGTGGTCTTTAGAACCAGGTCCCAAAGTTTCTGTGTAGAACTGTCCGTGCATGGAAAAACGGTCGTTAAGAGCAGGTGGTCGTTAAAACGAGAGGTCGCTTACACCAGATTTTACTATACTCCGTGGCATCCTGAGTCATGGCATCCTAATCGCGAGAGGGCAATGGCCGGGTATCAAGCACTCGCCATGGTGTCACTGTCACCGACTCTAAAATACCAGCATCAGCTCATCCATCCAAGATTACCACTATAATTATGTACATGCTGTGCATACTGCATAGTCCTGCAGCTGAAGCAAATCACTTCGAGTCAGTACCAGCAAGAAACACCTGTGCCCTGATGGACCATGTGACAAGTGCTGCCGGGCCCGTTTGCCCAAGCCTGGTGCAAGGATGCATTGCGCGTCATGTCACCGCACCATCATTGATGATTTTGGTTCCTTGTACGTTGTATTTGCCTCCGCTGTGTAGCTTCCAGCAGGCTGCTGGGCTCGCTCTGGCGTAAACATTTATACACCACGATATCGGTGCAGACATAATGGCACGAATCCAGAGACAGTGCATTACCTCTTGACTTGGTAATAGTGTGCGTGGGGGGGGGGGGGGGGGATAACTCTTAAAAGTCATGACTCACGCACACTTCATCAACTGTCAGGATCGGTGTCACACGTGATAAGCAAACCATCTGCTTCAAAGATTGACGTTCGCGCAGCACGGATATACAATCATGTGCATAACCCCTCTTGATGATATGAAGGAATGGACTGCCGTGATGAGTTTTCGAAGAGACTACATTGTAGAAACAATTATGAGCGTGATCACACAGCGATGACGCAACCAAAGCCTTTTCCGCCGTTACTCAGAGTTTCACGTGAAACACTCATCAGACAGCATGTCACGCTAGGCCCAGCGCCAAGACGGAGGTCAGAGTTCAAGCCAAAAAAAACCCAGCCACACTGCACCTGCACATGACCCCACACATGTGCAGTGACGTCACTATGCATATGGCACTATTATATTCATGAGGTCGGATTTCTCTGGTCACGACTGCGGTACATTCATTAATTTCTGCATGGTTGACAGGATTCGGAATACACTGTATCTGCTATGAACACTGGCGATAAGGCTTGAACGTATACTGGTGAAAACTTCCGAGATGTTGTTCAAGAGGAGGAAGTGTGTCCTTCTTCTCAGTGATATTACAGATAGGTTTATTTGATATGTTATGAATTTTTAAGACACTTTTTTTGTTTTGCATCCCTCTGTTTTCATTTCTGCAGAGTACACATCTCGTTTGCTTGGTGCTGCCGGGGAGATCGAAGAGTGCTGACGAAGGCAGAGAGCCCCTCCACTAAATGGATACGCAGGCGTGAGGATTGCTCGCCACCTCCGCAATGAGACGCACGCGCTGTCACCAGCACACGATCAGCGATCACGGTCATGCTGGACGGTTATGGCTGCTGCCACTGCTGCTAGTGGTGCTGTGCCACGGACCGCAGCATGGCAACGCCCAGTGGGAGCTGCCCTCGCACCCCGTCGCCTCGTCGTCCCGGGCAGGCGAGTTGGCTGTCGCAGCGGCGGCTCAGGCCATGCCGGCATCGGTATTACTAGCAGATGACCGGCCAACAGCTGCCTCGCTCCAGCCGGGGGAGCAGGCCATGTTCGAGTTCACGACGAGCATCAACCAGCGTCAGTTCCACGTGACCGTGTCGCCATGCCGATTCGACGGCAAGCTCGACTGGCAGCTGACGCGAGGAGTGGGCACGGTGGTGTTCGAGCACACGCCGTCGCGCACGTTCACCCACCATGCTCCGAGCATTGCCGCGAATTCCACAGAACCCGGCGCAGCCAGGGATCGCACCGGCCCTGGTGCTGCACAACAGCCCGCAGAGGGGCGTCGCCGGGGACGACGGCAGCTCCCCCTGGCGAGCGACTTCAAACACCCGGTGGAGAACGGTGTGTCAAGTGGCGACGCGCAAACGGTCGCTACTAACGACCTGCCACCCAGTGAAGTGACGCACACGGCTCACGATGCCCCGCCCGGCAAGTACCACCTGACGATCAGCAACCGTGGTGCCGAGATGGCGGAGTTCACCGTGCAGCTGGGTACGAGGTCGGCATCGGCGACGCGGCCCATACTGCCGTCGCAGGCGTCGCTCGTGCCCCGCAGCATTCGCCCAACGCAGGTCACTCTCGAGTGGCAGAGTGTGGTGAGCAGTAGTCCGGTGGAATATTGCTTGGAGTACGCAATCGGCGCACGCCTACAGCCGACGGACGTGATGAACTCAATCTGCGGTATACGCCGCGTCATGAACAGACAGTCGTCGGCAACATCGGCGGCAGGTGCGGGTGCGTCCAAACGCACGACTCGTCAGTGCACTCGTAGCACGCAGATCACGGTGCAGAGTCTGTTCCCTGAGATGACGTACGTGATGAACGTGGTGGCGCGAGACCTGGCCTCCCACACGGAGTCGCCGTATCGTGGCGTCGTCGTGACAATGAACACCGAGGGCCTGGCGCTGCAGGACGGCCGGGAGCTGAGCAGGTTCACGCTGTTCCCGCGCAGCAAGCAGGTGTTCACGTTCGACGTGGCCGGCCGCGTCAGCGCCAATCAGCTGGCCACGCTGCAGCAGCGGAACACGCCGCTGCGCATCAGCGTGGTGCCGTGCCACGGTCGCGTGATCTGGGACGTGACCAGGGACGGGCTGCCGAGCCAGTACATTGCGCCGCACTACTTTGACCCGAGCGCGTCACCGGACGAGAACTTGGCGTCACAACCTCGGCCACCGCAAACCGGCGGCAGCGAAGAAGATCACGATCAGACTTTGCTGGGAGCCCAGGCAAGCATCAGAGCTGGTGCAGATCGACAAAGAGGACGCTGGAGCTCGACCAGGCATCGCCGTGACACTGAGCCGACGCTAGCGCCGGCCCGGCCGCACCACTTTAACGTCGACGGCGGTGACTTCTACCAGCGGCACGACGACGACCATCGCGACGACGTTGTCGAGCCGGCGCCGCCGGTCAGCGCCGGTCTGGGCACGAGTACGGGCCGCACGACCTACGTGTACAGCGATCTGGTGCGGCGCGTCGACTCCGTCTACCAGGTCTCTGTGTACAACCTGCACCCTAGCGCCGAGGCAAGCTTCAACATACGCGCCGAGCTGCTCACCGGCAGCAAGCGGCCCGCACTGCCACCGGACCCGCAGGTACGCGTCAAGAATGTCACCAGCTCGCAGGTGCAGGTGGACTTCCTCGACAGTGTCAAGGCAACCAGCCCGGGCGGTGCCCCGGGTGCAAATGCCGCTAATGGCGGCGAACCTGGTAAGAAGTTGAAGTACTGTGCAGTGGCGCAGCCCAGGACGGAGCTGAAACCGCTGAGCGTGCTGAGCAGCGAGTGCAATATCCGCAGCCGAATACCGACTCCGGTGCTGGACAGCCTGTACCCACCCCTGGCGCCTGGCTATGGACAGACCGGGGCCTATGGCCTCGCCCCTGGGGCGAAGAACCCGGATGGTGGGCAAAACAACCCCGGGCCTGGGAATCCTGTGGCAGCAGGACCGTTTCCAGGCGGGCTGCCAAGCTCGGAAATCCGTCTAGCTGGACCAGACGCAGGGCATGGAATAGCCGGGGGAGACCGCAGGCAACAGCTGGATTCAGGCACCGGTTCTGCAATCGGGGGAAGAGGAACCGGCACTGGTGGTGGAAGAACCAATGTCGGTGGCGGAGGACCTGGTGTTGGTGGCGGAGGCCCTAGTGTTGGTGGCGGAGGACCTGGTGTTGGTGGCGGAGGACCTGGCGTTGGTGGCGGAAGAGGAGCTGGTAGTTTTGATGGAGGTTCTGTGGTTGGCGGTGGGGAAAAAGCAGGGGTGCTGGATCCTAAGCGGCCGCAACAGCGGTTGCCAGGCAAGGCATCTCCGTTCGATCAACCCGCCTCAGGCCCCGATAGCCGACAGCAGCCTCCAAGCACAGGCAAACCTGTGGGAAGTCCTGGTAACCCATGGCAACCAGCCAACTCTAAACAAGGCGGCACGGCGGGTGACGGCGGAAGTAATCATGAAGGCATCGTCACGAGTCCTGACGCCAGCAACCCGTTCGTGGAACGATCGCCGGGGACTCAAAACCCATTCAGCCAGCGAAACCCAAAGAAACCAGATTTCTTCCCGTCGAGCATCAACGAGGTGGTGGTGCGTCCCGTGCCCAATCCTTTCGACAGCTCTCCGTCCACGAAGTCCCAATCGCCATTCTCCCAATCATCGGCGGGCGGTGAGCAAACGGGGGGATTTCTCTTCGGCGAAGGAGGAGGGACGCTCTCCGTTCAGAGCATGCGGATGACGTGCGGCGAGAGCACACGTCCGTTGCTAGGCAACCTGAGCAGCGGCACGGAGTACGCCGTCGAGGTGCTGGCGCTGGATCCGGAGACCCTGGCAGCCGTGGCCTACACCAGCGCGCTGTTTCGCACCGACGATGACCCCGCTGGCCACAGCAGTGGCGGCCCAAGACTCGTCCTGTTCACCACTGGTAGCTCGCTGATCGGGAGCATGCTGAGTGCGGCTGTTGCTACTCTGTTCACCATTCTCGTTGTCCAGTTCGTCTAAACAACAGGGCAAACCGTGTGAAAAACCCTCCGCAGTCTTCGCTCAAAAAAAAGGTGCACCTAACCAACAATTTATCGATCACCTACATGCGAGTGTTGAGCCACTGCTCACCATTCTTGTTGTCCAGTTTGTCTAACTCGGTATCGACTGAACTCAATGCCGTGCGTGGAGAATTGTGCCATAGCTTAGTTTTTTTAAACCTTGAATTGGACGTAACTTTGGTTTCCCTGGCTAAACAACAGTACAGATGTGTGAAAGGTTCTCTGCAGCCTTCGCGCCCACAAAGGTGCACCGAACCAAGTTATCAATCACCTATTAATTAAAAGAGCCCTTCTGTCCACCGTTTGACTGCTCTACGCTCTGTCTCCACGGCATTTTGAATTTGAGCACTCTTTGCACATGATTAGGTGCATCCCTATAATAATAATGTTTCAGGCGTTCTCGGACATTGCGTGACCTGTAAGCGTGCAATTATTTCCTCACTAGTTCAAAATGGACAATAGTTATAATTATACGTGAATTGATGACAATACTGTAATATTATATTGATAGAGATAAATTTGTCTCCTCGTCGACTTTTTAAACACTGTAATACGTTGAGACCGTTAACGTTAGAGCATTGCTCACAGATATCTTCAATTTGTCACAAGCATTGATATAAAAGAGTTTTCCTGCTATTTATAACTTTTTTTCCACTGCAACCTATAGCAAGAGATTTATATCGGCATTTCACTCGAGACATTGCCGTGTTCAATGAATACTGTACCCGGTTGGGATTGTGCCGCCCACAAGACATGCAAGGAAACGGGGAATTCCCCCAGCAAGGCAAGGTCGATAGCAGAAGTACACGGGTAATTCCCCCAGCAGGGCAAGGCGAAATACACAAGCCCTCAGGGGATCGCTTTCCCCTAAAAATGGGCAAAATCAATAGGAAAATGCGAAGCATGTTGTGCACTTCCCCTAACTCTGTAGACAATCCATTTTGATATTGCAGACCACTGGCTTCTGAAAAGCCAATAGTTGGCCGAATTAAGTCCGAAAAACACACTTTAAATTCGAACATTATTGGGTTTGGGATCTGCCTCTCCATACATCCTACACTGGCATTCCTGTCCTAGGTTTTGTTTAAAAAAAAACTAAAAAAACAGGGGAGGGTGGCAAGCAATACTGGGCTCTACCGGAACACAATGCGGCGTATATGTGAAGCACAGGCGAGAAACTCAAACTCATGCTGATGATGATGATGATAATGATGAGATCACAGAACGGTGGCACAAACCGTGCACATACATCATTCTACAGGTTGCGAGCAACACAAAGCAAATCACAAAAAAAGCAGAGAAAAAGTAATGCCTCCGGGCTAGACACGTTAGCGTGGACACAGAGCAAGGTGATACGAGCATGTGCTCAGCAGGACACGAATCCAAGCACAGAGAAAAGGAAGATGCGGGCAGGCATAATGGAATAACTGCCTAGTCGAACAGCGCAAGTGTGCGTGAGAACATACGGGCACGGTGGAGTTACCACTGAGTGTGGGCGCGTGTGCATACAGCTTAGGGTAGCACTCGACGGCGAAGACACTTGCCCAGGCAGTCGGCAACTCGTTGACCCTAAGAATGCTGGTGTCCAGCAGAGGATGAGGCAAAGGGTCCGCGTCCGTCTGAACACGAGCACAGTCCTGGTCGTAGCAATCAAATAGAAACGTGGCATGCGGTCTCTCTCGCTCCGGTGGCCGTAGCAACTGGTTAGAGATACGGCACGCAGTCTCCGTCCGGTGAGTGCGACAAGCACAGTTGTGGAAGGCAACAGTACTGGAAACCCAATTCGATGGTACAGGGAAACCCCCGCCAATGGTACAGGGAAACCCCCTCCGATGGTGCAGGAAACCCCCTCCAATGGTACAGGGAAACCCCCTCCAATGGTACAGGGTCGGTGTTGGAGATAAGAAAATGTTTGAAAGGTGCATGTGCAGCCTCCACTCCCACGTGAGACCAAATCACTTGTGCGCGCTTGACACTGGGGCTAATACCCCAGGGACGGGGAGCCACTTGTGCGTGGTCGATACCGGGGGGGGGGGGGGGGGGGGGCTGATACCCCTGGGATGGGGTTATGTGCCCTCACCAGGGCAGGAACAAGGCACGGGGCATGAGACGAGATGTCACGAACACAGCGGCGGGTACATGATTCTCCGGGTAAGTTCCACGAGCGGACACTGCAACACCACAAGCAGTGTGAGGTGACTGTCAAACTGCCAGGCATAGCAGCCCCATACCACCACCAAACACAAGTCAGCTCTCCCGGTAAGTAAGTTCCATGAGCGGATGCTGCCAACACCACAGGTAGTAGAGGGAAGTGAACATCGTACTGTCTCACCGTCAACACACCTATATCACCACCATCATACACAAGTCAGCTCTTGCTAGATTGACAGCATGAACATGTGTGTGAACTATAACAAGGTTTATCTAATACTAGTTTTGAACTACATGTAGTAGTGGGTTCTATAATACCATAAGTCAGCTCTGCCGGTAAGTTCCACGAGCGGATGCTGCCAACACCACAGGTAAGTTAGTAGTGCTGAGTGAACGTCACACTTTCTCACTGCCTATACGGTATACAGCCACCACTTTACACAAGCCAGCGGCACTGGACCCTGTCAGAACTTTCAACGCGTACGTACACGTACACCAGGCAGGAGAGTACAACTTGCGATGCGCCAGATGGACGAAAACCTTTCCACGCGGCGGCACCTCTGAAAGAGGTGAATAGTCTAGTGGTGTAACGAATGGTGTTTTCTTCGAACGGATATTCTCTCGAATATCGCTTTTGACGAACGAACGAATATTCTATATTCTTGTGATGAGCGTCGATCACTTTACTCCATCAGACCCAACATTCATGTTGCATACAGATCGCATTCCAAGTAACAGAGCAGATTTTCTCCAAGAACAAGTTTCACAGTTCATAATTTCAATACGGTCATCCCCACTACTGTTCAGGAGATCAAGGTTGGAGCTAAAATAACACCGCAACCAACAAGTGCCAACTTTTTGGAATTTCGAATATCGAATAATGCTGCCTGCATTCGAATATTCTTTTTGATTTGGGTATTCTAGAATATTCGAATAATTCGAATATTCCTTACGTCACTAGACTGATTACCACTCACGGTCGCCACACCTCAGATGAACACACAGGACCGAGGTGAGGGACCTCAGATGAACACACAGGACCGAGCTGAGGGACCTCAGATGAACACACAGGGCCGAGCTGAGGGACCTCAGATGAACACACAGGGCCGAGCTGAGGGACCTCAGATGAACACACAGGGCCGAGCTGA